TAATAAATTCAAAGTCCATGTCAAAATATTGCAAATACTGTTTTTCTGTGTCTTCAACATGCCGACATGCATTTGCCCACATAGTACTATCAATCATTTCGAATCGTTCATTTATAAGTGACATAATGGATGTAAAATTTTGTGAAACATTTTTATTAGCCACGTAGTTTTTTAATATCCCCCATATATTTTCAATTGGATTTAGTTCCGGGTGATAAGGTGGTAGTCGTAGAATTTCAAACCCTTTTGATTGAATCAGTTCGTCAATAACGAACCTCTTGAATCTGTCCTTATTTTTTAAAATAAGATCGTACAGTTCAATTTTTTTCATTGATTCGTCAAACTGAATATTTTTTCTGCAAGCCACGTTTGCATGACTTGCTTATTTGAGTTGGAGTTGGGAGCTTTTTCTAATAAAGCATTGTGGTAAGAAGCGTTATCCACAACGATGACAGCCTTTACCGGGAGATTGGGCAGTAATTGTGTGGTGAGCCATTTCTTATAATTATCCAGATTCATGTTGTCGTGATAATCTCCACTTGTGTAGTTTGCTTTATACACCAAACTAGCATTTGGAACAAATCCTTCACATCCACCAGCGTGAACAATTATGACCCGAGTACCTTTCGACAACTTTTTTGCACTGCTGATACTCCTTTGACTGGTTTCCAGCACATGTTTTGCAGACGTGTTGTATGAACATAACTTTCATCTGTGTATACGATATAGCGGCCCTCGTCACGATATTTTTTTAATTGCCTCAAATATTGAAAGCGTAACATTTGGATATCATGCTTTTCTACTAAAGCTTTACGGTTGTCATCTATTTTGGACCACTCGTAGCCCGATTCCTTCAAAATGATACGCAGAGTTTCTATACAACCGTTAAAACCAATTCTTTCCGTTAATACTTGTTTCAGCTTTCTTAACGTTGGTAATTCATTAAATTCTGTATGAAATGTCGCTATCGTTCTGCGAAGTATACCCATATCAAAATCATCCAGGTTAGACTTGGTACGCTTCCTTTTTTGGTTTTGAGGGCGATCTAAAAATTTTTTGTGACGTATCATTTGATGTACTAGCTTGCTTCTCTTCTTTCAAAATTCGTGTAATCGTAGATTCACTAACACCAACGGCTTGAGCAGTTCACCATCTAGCGTCAGATAGTTTTTCCACTCCATTTTCCGCTTCATATTTCATTCTGCGGTACACTTTCGCAGTAATTTCTTTTGCCTGTAAAATGTATGCATGTAAACCACCATAAAAACGATGTATGATTAAATAAGATTTTAAGCAATAACGTATTATTTTACTTACTTGACTCCGTAAATGTTTTTTGGTCGACATGCTGACGGTACTTTTACAATCGAACGACGCGTGCTCCTACGCTTGAGTCTCACCGACAACCGAATGACCAATTACAATGGCATTTGTATATTGTATGTGCGTTAATGCGATAGTGGGGCGCGTCATTTCAGCTTAGACGATCTATACTAGAATAAATTATTATGGTATCTACCTATCCTTACCATTATCTAATTACAATATTCCTTACGAGATCAGCATAATGTATTCGTGTCCATTCTGAGCACCCGGAAACTTATTTTATTCTTTGGAACATGTACTCTGTGGCGGCATTCAAAGAGTATCAAATGTAAATGTAATGTGTGCGGCGAGGCGGTGACGATTGAATGCGATATCAATAAAGGCCGCCGGCGCGTGTATCTTGACCTTGTACTTCCGAATAGCTGCAAAATTTCTTTGACAGGTCAGTATTCTTTGATGATGCCGACAACAAGACGCGCACTATCAAAGAGCCTTATCCAAGCGGGAAGGGATAAATAATAATAAATTAATAATGTAAACCTGATACAAGTGGAATAGGGACGTTTAATATTCTTAACCTTTCTCGAGCCCTGTCTTCGTGAACGGGTATCACTTAGCTTGTAAAGCACTACCAACAGCTTCACTCTAGTGAATATTCATTCTTCCAAAAGAAACCTAAAAGAACTAAGTTACTAAACAAACACAATGTTAATAAGGGTCCTAACTATTCCAAACTATTACAAACGGCCTATTATTAAACCTTTAGGAAGATCATTTAGAAATATCAAAACATATCTTATTTATCCTGGTCACACATATATAATTTTATTGAAAAGGGGTAAATTAATTATATATAATATATTTAATATCATACATATTTATATACATATATATATATACATATACATATACATATACATATATATATATATATATAGGGGGGGGGGAGCGTTACAGCGCCAGTTGACATCAACTGATTTTTACAGTAATAATTCGTAAAAAAACCGCCATGCTCAACTTCTAATACTCACTCACGCATACATATTTCTTTTTATTTCTTTGTTAGCTTTGTTAGAAAAGTTAACTGCATGATGCACGTATAGACACCTTAAAACATATAACAAAAAATAAATGCGGAGTGCCACAAGGAAGTATACTGGGACCTTTATTATTTATAATCTATATCAACGATCTTTGTAACGTAACTACTCATAAATGTGTGCTACATGCTGATGACATTACCATTAATATTGAAAATAATAATAAATATTTTGACTACGAACATGAAATAAATAAGACCTTAGAAACAATAATAGATTGGTTAAGACACAATAATTTACAAATTAACATCGAAAAAACTAAGATGATAAGATTTCAGACATATAATAGTAAACAAGAACCACTTAAAATTGAATATGGGAAAAACATAATCGAAGAAGTTAACCATACTAACTTTTTAGGTGTAACAATAGACAAGTTCTGTAATTGGAAGACACATATTGATAGCCTATGTAAAAAGTTAGATAAATTTGTCTTCGTTTTATATCGGTTAAGACGAGTGGCTAACAAGGAGGCCGCACTCTTTGCCTATCATGGATATGTTTCTTCGATCCTACGTTACGGCTTAATAATATGGGGTAATTCTGTTGATTTAATTAGAGCTTTTCGTGGACAAAAAAAATGTGTACGGTCTTTATGCGGAGCATACCAATTAGATAGTTGTATTCACCCTTTTTCGCAAACATAAAATATTGCCGCTTCCAGCATTATACGTTTACGAAATCTGTATCTTTGTTCACAAATATAGTAATTTATTTGAAAAACACAATGATGTTGTAATTAGGACTAGTAGAAATATACATAAATTGTGTGTACCAAAGCAAAGAATACAACTCTACTCAAAAATGTATATTGTATGGCAATACATGTTTAGGTACAACAAATTGCCTGTTTGTTTCAAAAAGATAAATATAGGAATCTTTAAAAGTAAATTGTTTCAATTTCTTTTAAATAAGTGTTATTACTCAGTAAATGACTTCTTAAATGATAAATTTGACTCAAATTGTATTTATTGAATTGCTGAATTTAAATTTTTTTGAAATGTTTTAACTAAAGTATTATGATTGTTTTATATAGATTTGGTTTCCATAAATATTGCGGCAAGTATCTTTATACTATATAATAATTAGTGTCTTAGTTTTCTAGTTTATTCGAAAAATTATCTATCAGAAAATATTTGTACGCCGGAAACGGCAGAATATTTAGGATCAAAATTCTTTTGTAACAACAGTAATGTACCATATTCTGACAAATAAGGCATCTTATCTTATCTTATCTTATCATGTTTTTTTATAGGATAAGGGTGACAAACGAGCACACAGTCCACCTCATGGTAAGTGGATGCTGTGGCCCATAGACCTCTACATTTAACCTCGATTAAGAATCAAAATGCAGATTCGTTGTCACCCTTGAGGACTAAGATGGAATGCCTCAATTTCAGTAAAACAGGTCTCCGGTTCTCTACACTCACCATACGAAACACAGCAGTATTAAGCTGCTATGTTACGCTGGTATTTCGTGAGAGCGTGGTCCTTCGGCGGTCGAGCCGACCCATTCATGCTATAACCATAATAATATAGCTGCAGCGTGGCTCTACCACGTACAAAATTGTTGTTGGTTCGAAATGATTTTAGTGCAGATATGTGAAAGTGAGTGTGTGTTCCTACAATAATAACTTAACCATGGTTTTGGCCATTGAATTATAATGCGTAGTACATTTTACTTCAATGATTTTGGCTTGGTTTTTGCGTTAAGTACTTGAATGTACGTAGCGTCTTTCTTTATTTGTTAGTCTGACATTTGGGCCCAAACATTAAAATTTGTAAATGAAAATTTTCCATATTTTAAGTCATGTTTTAGAACTTAATAATTACCAGCCAGTGTAACAAAGGAAAAAACCTTTTTTTACACACTTTAAATCTGGTATTGAGATCTATGTTGATTTCGTTTAATTGTTAAATATATAATCTCAAATGACTGCCTCGTTGGTCAAGTGCTTGTGGTCATGACTGCTGATCATGTAATCTCGGGTTCGTATCTCAGATCGGGCCAAAAGTCAGTTATAGGATTTTTCTGTCAAGAGTATTTCCGAAATCGGGAAGACAACCACGTGAAGGAAGTCTTTTGTCTTTTGCCTGGTCTCGTGTTGGATTTTCGTTGAAGTGCTGGTGCACACACTTGTGCACTGTAATCCTGCGCAGATGGCTTGTTTCCATCGGTGAGACTGGCCGCCATGACTGAAATTCGGCCTGAAGAACGTTACTATCATATCTTAAATATATTTCATTAATATTTCGTGGAAAATGTTACATCTAAAAACACAAACAAAATGCTTTAAAATTTACACCTTTTGATTGCTATCATATCCAAAGCAATAAATGCTCTTATGTTTACAAACTCACCTTTACCGATGCGTAGGCGCAGTAAGCGGCTAAGCGGTAACACTGACTCACTTTGCGTTGCGGGTCATTCATAATTCATTCCCACTCGGATATCCGATTGGGACGTTCGTCTTCTGTGTTGAACAGAAAATATTCATCATTAATTATTATTAGTGACTAAAGTGCGTGTACAGTTTTATTTGGACCGTCAGTTTTTATCGTATTATGAGAACCATGAAGGCGTTTGTGATCGGCTTTGTAATGTTCTGTAAGTATTACTTTTTCTAGGTTTTCAATGACACTATTTAATATTATTCAGGGTTTCCACCTGTTTTGAACGTCAATATACTTGTTCTTCTAAAAAAAATTATACACTCTACTAAGATAAGTTCTTTTATTTTATTAGCTTTCCGACTTCGAAATAGAAAGGTTTTTTTTTTAATCAAATGTTTGTAATAATGTATGCAAAGGAAATAATTGTACTTAAAAAAAATAAAAACCGAAATAAAAAAATATGCAAACGGTAAAATAAATTCCACAGTATTTAAGAGCTTCTGAACTTGGCGATAACTCTTAGTTTATTCAAACTACAACTTCATCTAGCGTAACTTCATAGAGCTATTTGATTATGCGAAAATTATTTTATCCTTTTTAGCGTTTCGAAGTCGGATATAAAAAGAAATTAGTTTAATAATTTGACCCTTTTGTGTTGACTACACAATATTACAAGCTCAAAGTAACAAATAGAATGTCGTACTAGTTACGTGAAGAAATTCATCCCTCTATTTTTTCTTCAAATTTAAATAGAACCTCTTTTATCGTTATTAAATAGCGGTAAAAATAAATTAAGATAAGACGCACACACACACACATAGAAAAATATAAGTCGCATTGAGAACCTTCGTGTTTTTTGAAGTCGCATTAAATAACATTAAACGTAGAGATTTTCTGTGTCAGAGAGTTTTAGATCAAAGAAGAGTGATATAATGTTGTGTGTTGGTGTACTTCACATATGCCTCTTCTTCATACATCTAAATTTCCTCAAGAAGTTTTCTTTAATGCCGAGCACAAAAGTAATCATGTTAGTTATTTTTCTAATGATTTCTTACGTTTACACGAACACATTGAATGAAACTAGTTTTACAGGTTTTATCGCGTTTTATAAACTTATTTTATATTAGCGACGGTTCGAGTACTTTACATCACCCATGTCCACAGGGGTTGAGGTTTCCGACGTCCCAATGTCACAGTTAACCACGGCTACCTTAAGTTTAGATATAAAATATGTTAATAAAACCGTAAAATTAGTATCGTTTAACGATTTTTCTTGATTTGACTTGCAATAGCCTAGGAATATTAGTTTACCTTTTGTATATCATATACAGAAAACGGACTGGTTCTGATCGTTGGTCTAGTGGTTGTAGTAGTGCAACTGATCATCAGGTCCTGAGTACGAATCCCGGTTCGAGCCAAAAATTAATTATTGAGTTTTTTTGTCAAGAAATTCTTAGTAGCTGCCCGGAATCAGGAATTGGCGGTGTCTCACCCCCGTGCCTCGGAAAGCACGTAAAGCCGTTGGTCCTGCGCTTGGTCTTCTCTCGGGTCGTGTTGGTTTACCGTCCCATCGGATTACGAGAGTGAGGGCATAGGGCGTGCACCTGTGCTGCGCATACACTTGGGCACTAAGATCCTGTCCTGCACAGATGGCTAGTCTCCGTTGCGGCAGGCCGCCGTGACCGAATTCGGTCTGGAGGACATTATTATTATTATTATTATTATAGAAAAAGATAGTCGAAAGAGAGCATAATTTATATTGTAAAGTACGAGTGTCAACTCTAATCGTTCTATCGTCTGTCGATACTTGATAATTCCTGTTCACTTTCTAATTATGACTATATACATAGTATGTACGTATGGTTAATATATAATATGATGACAACCAAGTAGATTAGCGGTTCAGATATTTGACTATAATATCGTGGTTCACGCGTTCAATTCTGACCTGATATCACTTGCAAAGAACACCAATTATGGGTCTTGTTGTGATTGTCTTTGACCTTGAGTCTTAAGCTACCGCGATCTTATCGCTACATTCGACACGGGTAAGGTAAGCAATAAGTCTTGATTTACAGATACTGTCATCCGGTAAATTAAAGATTTCGTCACGTCTCTATTTCAGTTAAAAAAAGTTTATGAGCATTTAATAAGAATTTTATCGCGTATTAACTTAATCATTAAGTTAAATAGCAATAAATTGCGAATTAATAAATTATTCACGCAAGTATCAGAAGATATGCAAAGTTATAACCCTGAAAATTTTAATAAAACTCATAATATTGTCAGATGGGTCTGTAACAAGTCGTTCAAAGTTGATTGAAAACTATCTATGGGCAGTATATGAGCTATGATTAACAAATACTAATGTAAAACGTATGCCGATAAGATCTGGGAAGCATTCCCGAAATAGGTCAAGCGCTTATTATATTAAATGTAATCAAATGCTTATCACATATCGATATTAGCTCTCGAAGGAGAGTGATTTTGCCAGTATTCTCAGGTCGACCTCACGGCTTAGCAATCAGTATAGATTAACAAATACTGTCAGCGTATATTAAAAATGGAGTGTGTTCTTGGGTCGTAGATTTAAATTCCAGCTGAAGCCAATATTAAATGAAGAACGAATTTGGTTTCAGGTTTTTGTAAGTATGTATTTGGGATATTAATAAAATCTCGAATTGCGATTCATATTCCTGATTCGCATACATTTAATCATGTACCGTCATAATCAGCGTACATATACTTTAATACGTCAGAAAAGCCTCGCGAGTATAAGGCCGTGGCGATACAAATATGGTTACACTCCAAACACCTTAAGGCAAATAATTTTTCTAAATTAAGAGCCCAGTCTTTCAGAGCAAAACAGAAAAATTGCGTTCTGGTGACACATCTACACCCTCCCTGCCCCGCCACTTCATGTACCGCCACCGCAGTTATCTTTCTGGCCGTAGCGTGGAAAGTTGCTCTACTAAGATTTTCCAGTATCAATTTATCTAATATACAGGATTATTGATAATTAGCTTACAAATTTTCACATACAGATTTTCTACCTCGTATCTATTTTTGTTCCATGCTTTTATTACAAAATTCGTTACACAAAAAAAAATATTTTAAGTTTGTATAATTTTTGTTGTTTTGTTGAAAAGGTTTCTAAAAGATAATCATCTAGAACCTGTATAACATGTACTCGTATTATTGATTATTCAAATGAATCTGGCAAGTGCTAGAATGAGTCGTGCACTGAGGGTTTCGTAATAAGTCGATGACACTATCGAAAATCCGTCAAGTACGTCAAGTAGTTCTAAATACTAAAATAGATTAAAAAAAAACTCAAAATAATTTCTATATAAGTACAAACAGTCCACTATCACACATATTTATAGTTTCTCATTGAAGTATAATGTAACTTTGTATAGCATTTACCTATATGCATTACAAATATGCAACTCATTTATAAACTATTCTTAAAATTACCTACCTAATTATATACCTAATATTTAACCAAGTGCTCACACATATGCACGTTGTTAACTATTTTACTATGAAACACAAAAAAACTTACCTTTGAATTCTATTTCTGTTCATTGCTTCAACGTTTGATTTCAATTTTCGTTTTCTGGTACAAGCATATTTTTTACGTTTATGGTCCATATCGAAATTAAAAGTTATAAAACAAATACAAAATGATTTATAAACCCTTAAAGAATTATATGCAAAAAATAATAAAGTAGAGCAACTTTCAATTCGTAACAATGCGCAACCAAGATTAGGGAAAGAGAGAGAAAGAGGAATGTTAGAGCGAGAGGAAGTGCAAACATTTGGCACAGACAAGACGTCTGAACGCTACAGCCGCTCAGCGGCTAGTAGCCGCCAATTGCGGGCAATATTCCTTAGTAGCCGCCGGCTACTAAGGAATATTGCCCGCAATTATTGTTTATAAAGTCAATATTTTATAGGTCGATCGAAATAATTATTAATTTTGAAATAAAGTGGTTTAAATTATTATTTTTTAATATTTGTCTAATTAAACACCTGCCCTTGAGAAAAAAAATAATTATAGCATAAATATTTTTATTTTTTTTGCTATGAAACAAATAGTTTTTTATGAGGCGAAAACAGCGAAATTTAACGAAATTGAGACCTCTTATTTAAGACAATGAAAGATATTTAGAAAAAAAGAAACAGCGCATTTTGGAGATGAAGATGTTTAGCTATTAACGCGCTGAATAGATTTCGCCTTTTTATTATCGATTGCCTTATAATGGTACACGAACAAAGCTCGAAATTGCGTTGGGTGCGAGAGAGCTCTATTTACCGTTTGATTTATCATACATAGACCACATAGATGAACCAAAAAAAAAATTTAGCCATTACTTATAATCTGGGTATTTATGTGTTATCAAAATATTTTACTCTGAAACAATAATTTGCTGTAAAAAAAAGAAATCAAAGTGGCGCTAATGATTCGATGTGAGTCAACTTTAAAAGACTGTAGCCTTAACAACAGGCGTATACGCCTCACACTAGGATTTTCTTCTGTATCGCGCAGGCATTTTATATACATAAATTGCACAAGGACAAACATTTGCATGTACCCGTAAAAATTACTCCTTCCGTGCAGATTTGAACTCGCGACCCTCAGGTTTGTTGCGGTTTTTTATGTTAAGACACAAACGAGCCAGCAGTCCGCGTGATACTAGTTGGCTATTGCAGCCCATTAACAACTACAGACTAAAAATGCCACAAATGCGTTGTTGCCGCGAAGGCCTTTTTTACCTGACTCATTAAGAAAAAAATCTCCTAAACTTTATTTCGTTTTCAAAAAGTTTTTCATCTAGTCATAACCAGAATTTTAATTTAACATTCACCAAAGTACACCTTCAGGTCACTCCATAAAGTTCAAGACGTATAAGTATATTTATGTATAAATCCTACGTACTTTTAGCTAAACAATACATTGTACTGAAAATCTGTGATTATAAAAATAATAAAAATATCTTATCTTGCTCAAGTATGTATCAAGTTTGCTTTTCGAATATTTTGTATTTCTACAGCGATCGATATTTTTCATCACGAGCCGCTGTAAACAAATGATGCAGTAATAAAAAAACCCATTCATGACGGCGGCCGAGCCGGAGTGAGTCAAATTGTATCTGTATTTAGTAAAATATAATTATTACAAGGCTGCTCAAATACCAAAAATTTCGGAAT